GGTTGTTTTCGTGAAACCTCATGGCAATTAGCCAAGCATTTGTTTTTGATTACACGGGACCAATTTAATGAAAACACATGTCTAACGCTGTTAGTTGGGAAGAGTGTGAACAGGAGAAACCAAGATAGACATGCAAAGTCGGCTCCCATAATATTAGAAACTTGGTTTGGGGCTCTTTTTTTAAATCTGTAATTATATAATAAGAGTGAACAGTAAATGACAAGCTACCTTTTGCCTCCAAGTGATTCCATTTCTATTTTTAAAGTCTGAGTGATAGTTGAAGAGTTTAGGAACGCTTTTAAGATTCAGCAAACTCTAGAGGGGTGAAATGCTGGATTTCAAACTTCCAAATAAAAGAGTTTCTTGACCCCTTAACCTTGCTTCAACTAGAACGGTCCTCTTTTATCTCTTATATATTGGGCTTTTGTGTTGTAAGCTTTCCTTTGCAAAAAGTGTTTAAATGAATGAAAGGCCATTTTCTACAGCGTAGATTCCATTCATATCAAGGTTTACTCGGCTTTTCTGTGGCACAGCATGCAAAATGCTCTTTATTTGCTGCGACCAAAGCCACAACAGCAAACTTAGAAAACTGTGTTTTTACTTCCCTACCCAGCAAGTGCCCAGGTCTGCTAGTTTCTCCAGGCTTCCCTATATGTGTGTGCAGGTTGTACACTGCAAAATTTAGAGGGTGCCAGTCTCATCAGTCTTTATTACAAAAATGTTCCTGCTGATCACTAGAAGGCATCTTGAGAAAGAGGCACCTTTTGAACCACACAGTTAGCTCCAGCTGTCCAGGGCCTTCAAGACCATGCCTCTCTTTTCTGAAGTATTGTTGTTGTTATATGCTATCGAGTTGGACCCGACTCATAGCGACCCCTCCTTGGGTTTCCGAGGCAGTATCACTATGGAAGTAGATTGCCCCATCTTCCTTCCGAGCAGTGGCTGGTGATTTTGGACTGCCAGCCTTCTGGTTAGAAGTCAAGTGCCTTAGGCACTACGCTACCAGAGCTCCTCTTTTCCGAAGTATCTCCTCTGAGAGCCTTCTTCTTCACAGCTTTTTATTACTCTTATTATTGATATAAAAATATAGATAATACAACATTTGCCATTTCATCATTTTTCATGTGTACAATAACTGCAGGAAATTAAAGCTCCCAATGATTTTTGCATTTTAAAAGAAGTGGTTGGTAATCTAAATAAAACTAATGTGTAGAGTAAGTGTGGATGTGTATGTCAGGAGACATTTCATTCCTGATGCCCTTTGTTCACTCCATGGTGTCAGTACCCCAGTTGACAGCCACCTGCAAAGAGAAACACAAGCCACAGCAGGGACCCCTTCTTTAAAAAAAAAAAAAATACCAAGCCCTGGCCTAAGTACAGTTCTAGACACATCAATTTGGGCTTTGTGCCTGGAGCAGTGACTTGTTCAGTGGAGGGGATGGGAGAAGGGCACCGTGATTCCCAGAGCAATTTTATTTAATTCCATTATAAGTCTTTTATGTACTGTACCTTATACTCCAGTCATTTTTATCACTTTCTTTCTCCAATTTCCAGATTGTAAGCTCCTTTGGAGCAAAGTCTCTGATTTTTACCTTCTCCAGTGAGTGCTGAACGTAGGCCCAGAATGGATAGAGATTTAGCCAAAGTCACATGACTTGTTAATGGCAGAACCAAGAGTAAAAGTCAAGTTTTCTTATGCCATATATAGATTTAATGTTCTTTCTATTCTGCCACTGTTTTATTTCCCTATTGCTGAGTAAAAAGTCACCCCAAAATTTAGTACCTTAAAACAACAACACTTGTTCCTCACAGTTCTATGGGTCAGGAGTTTGGACAGGACATGGCTGGGTCGTTCCTCTGCTCCATGTTGTGTTTACTGTGGTCACTCACTTGGCTTCAGCTGGCAGTGCGTCATTAGGAAGGTGCAAGGGGTGTAGACTGTACTCTGTGACCCTGCCAGAAGGGGTGACACCAAAATTAGAGTCTGTAAAATTTTTGTGCAGTCTTTCAGCAGAAATTTATTATTTTTTTTATAAAAATATCTCTGTAATTAGTTATAACAGCAAAACCATTTGTTCTGAGTCCAGCTAAGATGTACCAGTATACCTATAAGACTAAAACTCTATGCTAATTTACTTTTTTTTTTTTTTCAACTTTTTATTGTGATTTGGGTGAAATTTTACAAAGTGAATTTCATCTTACATTCACCAGTTCTTACACATTTTGTTTCATGACATTGATTACAATCCCCACTATGTTAACAGCTAATTTACTTTTACTGTGTGTAATACTATGCAATGTAGAGTTGATTTACTCTTTGAAACTCATAGTGTACTCCAGTCAGAGGTGCTGTGATTACCCAATTACAGTAAGGCTTTAAAGCGCATGGTTTCATCTGCATGCACCACAAGCACATGCTGCTGCTTTCGTTGCTGCGAGTGTTGTTATACTTGCTGATTTCATCAATTTTTCTGATGTTTCAGCGACAATTTTGTGGTAATTAGTATTTGTGAACCTACATCAATAACTTTTTTAAGAGTGAAGTAGTAATTAAAGTAAAAGGAAAAAAAGGCTAATAATGTTAATACTGTTGTAATTCAAAGTAGAAAGATTTTACAAAATAACTTCATTGTTAATATTCATATAATCTAAGAAATGTTAACATTTAAGCAATTTACAACTATGTGTGTCACATATTATTCTATGCTTAAAATTTATAATAAACATTACTAAAGGTTCTATAGGAGCTCTGGTAGCATAGTGCCTAAGGTGTTTGACTGCTAACCAGAAGGCTGGCAATTCAAACCCGCCAGCCACTCCTCGGAAGGAAGGTTGGGCAATCTACTTCCGTAATGATACCACCTCGGAAACCCAAGGAGGGGTCACTATGAGTCGGGCTGACTCGATGGCACATAACAACAACAACAAGGATTCTATAGGGAGCTCTGGTAGCATAGTGCCTAAGGCACTTGACTGCTAACCAGAAGGTTGGCAGTTCAAACCCACCAGCTACTCCTCAGAAGGAAGATGAGGCAATCTACTTCCATAGTAATACTGCCTCAGAAACCCAAAGAAGTGTTGCTATGAGTCAGGTCCGACTCGACGGCACATAACAACACAACAACAAGGGTTCTATATGGGCTGGTACAGGAAGAGCTCTGAGGGTGGGGGTAGTGACACCATGAGTTACCACACTGGGTGACACCAAACCTAGTGACACCACTCTCAGCTGGGTTGGGCTGGCAGGTCTAGGAAGGCTTCATTCACATGTCTAGCACCTCTTCTGTGGCCTCTTTCTCTACGTATAGTCTCTCCTCTCTTTCAGTATTCTAGCCAGAACTTTATAGAATGGCAACTATCTTCTTCTATTGAAAGCAGAAGTTGCTATGAGTGTTAAAGTGACCCTCATGCTGGCATGGCTTAACTTCTGCTATATTCTCTGGATCAAGGCAGTCACAAGGGCAGACCACATTAAGGGGGAGGGGAAATAGATTCCACCTCATGATGAGTGGAGCAACATGCATGGGCAGGGAGGGAGGGAATTGATCGTGGCCTTCTTTGGAAATTAACCACAACCATAGTTAACCAATAGACATTCCTGTAATTTCTACAGTGTCCTAATAAAACAGGCACACTGAAGCCTATGCAGAAACAAAGATGAGAAAGGAGAAGAAAAACGCCCTGAACATCTCCCCCCACCTTTTCCATCTTGCTGCTACCTGAAGGGTAAGAAAGGTAGCACCACCTATACGCAAAGATCCCTGTAAATATCTTCCAAGTGGACTTTTCCAGTGGCATCTGGTCCTTATTTGAGTGTCAGAGGAAAAGCCACTGCACTGTGTAGCACATGAAAAGAATGTGGTTAGCACTTATATGATCCTACGGTGGAGTTTTCACAATGATTTTCTCTTTTTAGAGTTGTTGCTACATGGGTTTTCTGTATCAAGCACTTAAATGCATCCTCATAAGGGCTGATTCTCCAGGCAACACTTTAAAAACTTTTCAGGGCTGCATACGTGTGTTATTAAAATGGAATACACCTATAAGTAACCTTTTTAGCAATTACATTTCCAGCTGTAAGCAAAGTATACTCATTCTCTAAGAAAAAGGATACTTTGATAGATTTTTCTTCTTTTCAACCAATGATTTTTATGTGAAAGGACAAGCATTTAAGACTGGAAAATCAGTTTTCCAGGCTAGTCCAGCCCTGGCAATAACCTTTCTTTGTATTCATGCTAAGTTGGTTTAAAATATCCTAAATTATGGGAATTATTCTCTTTCTCTGAGAAAAACTCCCATAATTATCTAAATTTCCTTGGGAATTTTTGTGCATGTAGTATTCTTTCCTTTAAAAAAGATTTTATCCTTTTGTTACAATTACATTGTCTTTTGCCATTTAGACAATTACTCAACGCAGACTACTTTTTCTTGGAAACAAATAAATAAAATGCTGTAGTGTCATATCAAGAGAAGAAATGTATCAACAGCTATTTATGGGCTGCTGGTACAAAACTTTTCCAAATGCTTTGGGAAGTCTCACATTTTAAGAGATTGTTAGAAAATGCTGAGATTTGTCTTATACAAATGGAAATCTCTGCTTTCCCAAATGTGTGAGAGAGAAAATGTAATGTTTTTTGTACCAGCTGCCTGGGAAGTGTACTCCACTGAAATCTCATTTACCCTCCCAATGTTGTGTTGCTTGTGTTTATTGAAGATATTTGATGTACTCTTCTGTACAAGGTTATATATGTAAACACTTGCACATCATACAAAATATCATTCTATTACGGAAAGTCCAGATTTTTTTTAATCCTCCATTTCACCGTTTGTCTATTTTGTTGGTGGTGACGATAATGAGTTTATTTTCATTTGCTGTTTTGTTTTGCCTAAGAATGAAAAGAGATGTGCCTCTTTAAAATAGTTCAGATCATTTGAGGAACTTTGGGGATTTTATTTGAAAATATGTTTTAAATTTCAATTTCTTTACCCATTCATTGCAGGAAGAAGACTTAGAAGCTCAAATCTCCTTCCTTCAAGGACAGCTGAATGACCTGGATGCCATGTGCAAATACTGTGCAAAGGTGATGAACACTCATCTTGGTGAGTAAACTACGTAGGCCCTGGGAAACATGATAGCTGTAACAGGAATAATTATAGTCGTAGCAATGATAGGCCCTGTGTTTTATGAATTATCTCATTTAATCCTCATCACAGTCCTATGACAGAAGTACTGTTACTGTCCACATTGTAAGGATGAGGAAACTGAAGCCCAAAGAGATTAAGAAAATCTCCCAAGACTTTATTACTAGTAAGTAGAATAGACATTCAAAACTCAAACAATCTGACTCTTGATCTCAACTCTCAACTACTGCACTGCCCTTTGTAGATGGCTTTCTGCCTCAGACTGAAATGAAATACTGAGTTCTCAAGACCAATTAAGCCACTTGTTGGTAATCGCTAATGTGTTTATCATTTTGACAGTGCTATTTTTATTTTTTAAATACATATTTTTAACCGTCTTCCCAAAATGTGTATCAAGACCAAATGACCTTTCTTACGTTCTGTTCTCAGAAATGTCCTACTCTGATGTTTAGTTCACTTATGAGTCATACATATGCCACGTTAGCAAGTCTTCAGGCATTATTCTACGTTTGTATAAGAGCGGTATTTTTATTAGAAATGGTCTCTGCTGCATCGTGTATGTATTGCTTCAGTAACCCCATACTGCCTGCAAAAGCTTTTGTCATGCCCATTGTCCTATTTTTCAGCCACTTATGAACATCTTTTCTTTCTCCAGTCTCTAATATCTACCACCTATAGTTTGAAAATATGTTAGGAAAATAAGACAAGTAAACTAATGGAAATGGCCAATGTGAGTGTGGAAAATGGCAATGCCAGACATCGTGAGAAATCAGGATTCAGCCCACCTGTTCTGGTTCCCTAGTGCTGCTCTCACAAGAATATACCACCAGTAGGATGGCTGAACAAACAGGAGTTTATTCTTACAATTTGGAGGCTTTAAGTCCAAGTTCAAAGTGCCAGGCTCTAGGGGCTGGGTGAAAGCCCCTCAGCGTTTGGGGTTCAGCTCTGCCTCCTGCTCCTGGCCCACTGGGGCTAGAGGCTTTTCTTCACTCAGACAGCGGCTGGCTGCTGAGACTGACAAACCCAAGATTGACAAATAAAAAGGCACAGTCCTGATGTTACAAAAACCACATGGCAGGCCATTAAGTCAAGTCCATTGAAAGTCTCAAGGTTGGCAGAGCATGGCAGGCTGCTAAACAGTGACATGGCTACATGTAGGGTCCAAGCATGCCATAAGCTGGAGACCATTCCCAAAGCTGTTTCTTATGTACGGGAAGCAGACCACATACCCAAGGGCAGCTACTCAGCTGCTCACAGTAGATTCTACCATGGAGTTGATTACCAGTCTCATCATGGGGAATACTACATCCGGCTGCCCAGCCACTCAACCAGGCCTAGCCAAGTTGATACACAAACTTAACCACCACACCACCTATGAAGGGAAGCCAAAGAAAACCCACCAAGGCCTTTTCCCACTTCCAGTGCCCAGAGAGCAGCCCATCTCTGGCACCTTCAGTGGAGGTGGACTGTACCTTCACACTCCCTAGCTCCAAGCCTATTAGGTCATGAGTCCATTGCAGGTGGTCAAAAGGGCTGTCATTTTGGTGTAGCCAAAGCATTCTCTAGCTAGTAATAAATGTTCTCTTAAGGATTGAAGAGATATAGATGTAAGTGACTGCCTGCTTGCCAGCATTCAGTGTCTTATAGGCAGCTGGCCCTGTTCTGCCCTCAGTCTTACTTCCACTCTCCCACCACTCCTTCAGGAAAAGGACTCATGAGGAGGAAGCAGCAAGAGAGAAACACTGGTACATGACCAGCAGGGTAGTATCTCTCAGCACAGCAAGAAATGGTACCCCTGTCACATCTAGTTCTACCACCTTTTAAATTCTATTAATACACTACTGCATGATCATTTCTTAAAATTCATATAGAACTAAGTTTAAATGAATAACACATTATCAGGTATCATCACACTTTAAAATTCAGCAAAAGTAATTAACAAGCTTATGTATAGATTTATATGATATAATATATATAACTAGCTCTGGTAGCATAGTGGCTAAGGCACTTGACTGCTAACCAGAAGGCTGGAGGTTCAAACCCACCAGCCACTCCTCGGAGGGAAGATGGGGCAATCTACTTCCGTAATGATACTGCCTCAGAAACCCAAGGAGGGGTCGCTATGGGTCGGGTCCGACTCGATGGCACATAACAACAACAACAACATATACTGTATAATACATTTTAGGGGTTTTTTTAATATATATTTTTTTTTTCTTAATTTGTTTTTCTGACTGCTTGAGTGACCTTTGCATTACTTGATTTTGGCTTTGACCAAAATAAGAGCACAAAGAAGTGACTGCAGGAAAGATTTACTGGCACTCTAAGTAGAAAATCCTGTTAGGAAATTTCCTAATGTCTAATACATATAGAAGCTTTTAAAGCAGCTTTACTTAAGCCTCTGAATTTTCAAACAGCTTTTGCTCTGATTTGGGTCTTTTAGTCGGCACTAAAAGAGTGCCTTCTAATTGCATGGGACAGGAAAACACTTTGATTAAAATGGAAAGAAAAGCTCATACCAGCTGTGAGTTTTCAACCAACCACAAAACTAGATGTGTTTTTGTGGGTATGTTTCACTTTCAGTCAGAATCCCTTCACCTAGCTGTCAACTTTGTTTCCCCATATAAGTAGCATGGCTGCAGTTTATAAGTGAGGTCAAGGGATGCAGCAAAGAACTCCCAGCCCCAGGGCCACATATGCATTTCAGTGCATCTGCAGATTATAATAGTGCATGAGGAAAGGGTGCCAACAACAGTGTTATAGGCAATGTTGACTCTAAGCAAAGATTTGAAGAAAGTGCACAGAAAGATTAATTAAAGTGAAGCTCTCAATTTGCTTTTTGACTTATGCTTCCTTAAGAAACATTTTTCCTATCATAGTGGTTTTCCATGTGATGTTTTCTGTTTTTCCAATTATTAGAGTAGTACAAAATTGGAACAGCTGAAATACCCATTATTAAAGGATTGATTACAATATAGAAATTGTCTTGATTTTCTACTGCTGCTATAACAGAAATACCACAAGTAGATGGCTTCAACAGACAGGAATTTATTCTCTTACAGTTTAGGAGGCTAGAAGTCCAAATTCAGAGTTCCGGCTCTAGGGGCTGGGTGGAGGCCCCTCAGCCGTGGGCTTCAGTTCTGCCTCCTGTTACAGGCCCACTAGAGCTGGAGGCTTTTTCTGACTCATGCAGCTGCTGGCTGCAGAGGCTGATCAACCCAAGATCGACAGGTAAAATGGCAAAATCTCAAGATTGGCAAGCAACACAGCAGATGACTAGTTCAAGTCCAGGAACAATCCCAAGATTGGTAAGCAATACATACAGTAGGCCAAGACTCGGCCACATTCAGGGACCAGATGTGCCAAAAGCTAGAGACCTTCCTCAAACCTTCTCCATATACCGGGAGCAGGCCACACCAAAAGGCAACTACTTAGCTGGTCACAACAGATTCCACCATGGAGATGATTACAATCTCATCATGGGGAATAACTACATCCAGCTACCAAATACTCAGAACCACAGCCCAGCCAAGTTGACACACAATCTTAACTACCACAGTTGTGCGATCTTTATAAAGATTAAAGGTATTGTTTGATTACCTAGTGCTGCTTTTAAGAGCACTGGTGATGTAGTGCCTAAGGCGTTTGATGCTAACCAGAAGGCTGGTGGTTCAAACCCACCAGCCACTCCTCAGAAGGAAGTTTGGGCAATCTACTTCAGTAGTGATACTGCCTCGGAAACCCAAGGAGGGGTTGCTATGAGTTGAATCCGACTTGATGGCAGTGAGTTGAGTTGAGTGCTGCTCTTACAGAAGATACCACAAATGGGATGGCTTAACAAATAAGAGTTTATTCTCTTACAGTTTTGGAGTCTAGAAGTCTGTTCAAAGTGCCAGGCTCTAGCAGCTGCGTGAAAGCCCCTCAACCTAGGGCTTCAGCTCTGCCTCTTACTCCCAGCCCACTGAAGCTGGAGGCTTTTCTTCATGCAGGCAGCTGCTGGCTGCTGAGGCTGTTAAGCCCAAGGTTGACAAATAAAATGAAAAGTCCCAATAGTACCAAACCATATGGCAGGCCATTGATTCAAGTCCTGAAAAAATCCCGAAATTGTCAGGGCAACATAGCAGACTGCTGAACAACAATTTGGCTATATGCAGGGTTCAAGAGTGCCATAAGCTAGAGACCTTCTTCAAAGCTGTTTCTTATACACTGGAAGCAGACCACATCCCTAATGCAGCTACTCAGGTGTTCCAATAGATTCCACCATAGAGTTAATTACCAATCTCACCATGGCGAATAACTATATCCAACTGACCAGCCAGTCAACCAGATCCAGCCAAGTTGACATACAACCTTAACTACTACAGGTATTAACACAGGGAGACATTCTTGGTATATACAATAATAATATATTAAGTGGACACAGCAGGCAGCAAAACAATATGTATTTGATGTGTAAATAAACATTAACAGGGGTTGCCTGGATAAAAGGAAGATAGCAGAGATACTTTGGAAGGGACTTAAATATCTATGCTTGAAAAATCCAAAACAGTGTCTGAAAACCTGTGCCTGGCTTGAGTGTACGTAACTAGCACCGTGGGGTCAATCTGGAAACTCCAGGCATGAGTCAGCTGTGAGGGTGGTGGGGGTGGTGTCTGTGAAAGAGACAGCCTTTTGAGGATCAAACAGACCCAGGGTTGAACCTATGCTCTGTCATTTCCTACCTCTACTGCTTGTGAATGTGTCCTCATGTATAAAATGAAGATAAAAATATCTACCTTGCCAATTTGTTGCCAAAGTAATATATTTTAAAAGCCAAGCACAGGGCCTGGCTCAAAGTGGGTATTCAACAGATACCATCTCCTCTTTCCCCTTCTCCCTTACCCTTTCATATCCCCTGCCCCCCTCCCATGTTGGGAAGAACTGAAACACTCATGCCGCCCTAAACCTGAGCAGTGTGA